TTCCACTTGGCCACTTGTTTGGGGAAGATAAAGTGTAGCAATCCAATAGCGAAGAACCATAATTAATCCTCACTATATTCTCTTCATTTTGTGGCTAACCTAATGCTAGAATAAAAATTGTTCCAGATGGCAACAAACCCCACATTTTCTCAATCATTTATATAGAAACAAATCTTTTTTTGTGGCCAATTATCACCAAATCCCAAAGATTAAAAAAAAAAAAAGAATAAAATCAATCAGATCCAAATGGTACGTGTTGACTGAGTAAACAAAAAGATTCTCAAACATCATTGCATTTAATATTTTTTTGTTTAAATCATACAAAAGATTTCGAACTCTTATGTTGTAATACAAACTGATAAAACGTTGACTTCTCTGATCTCCTCCTATAAAGATGATGCTAAGATTGAAGACAAATATGTCATCAGAGATTCTACATTTCATGAGTTTTTGATATGAGGAGGCCTTGATTAGATGCAAAATATGGTTTTTCATTGCCTGAAACAGTGGCGAATGGTCGGAATGGCCAACCGAAGACCCGGGAAGATGGGGGTTCAAACAACAGTTGCCTTTTTCCTTATCATCCTTGTTGCAGTAGTCACAATAACCAGATGGATCAATGCTGTAAGACATTTCTTGTTTCATCTTTCATTGTATATTTTCTGTTTTCTTTTGTTTATTTTTATTGCATAGTTGGTAAGTTTGATTAGACACCACTGGATAGTATTATTGTTGAATTGCATAGAGCATTATTAGAGCCTCTTAATCATGGATCGACCTAATATCCTACTATATAAGAACCGCGCTACACGTACAGAAAGAAAACTCACAAATGTTTCACAGACCACCCATAAGGACCCGTTTAGCATGATTTTTGAAAAGTCAAAAATTGCTTTTGAGATCCAAAAGCAATTTTTGGACCTGTTTGGCTAATTTTAGAAGCTCTTTTGATTGTTGGAAAAGCTTTTAGAGGAAATTGATTCAATTTGACTTCTTCTTTAAGAATTAGTTTTCAAACAAAAATTAGGAGAACTTCCTCCAAAAGCTCTTCTACAAGAAGTAAAAGCAAAAGTCCTGTCAAATAGGCATAAGTAAATTAGGGCTAATAGTGTCTAGTAATGCATATTTCGGCATATGTTTTTAGCCTTGTTCTGATGTTTCACTCTTTCAGTCTATAATAACAGGATCATTTCCGAAGAAATTTTCACTCCTCGGAACATCTCAGACATATTCATCAGAATTTGATTGTTCCCCCAAGTGTTCAGACATTTCACCTTTGGCTAACATTAGTACAGAAAACAATGCGCCCTCAGAATCATGTCCAGAATACTTTAAATGGATTCATGAAGATTTAAGGCCATGGAAAGTTACAGGAATTACAAAGGAAATGGTTGGAAAAGCTAAAGAAAAAGCACATCTTAACTTAGTCATAGTGGACGGAAGAGTGTATATGGAAAAGTTTAAAGAGGCATTCCAAACTAGAGATGCTGTGACAATATGGGGGATTTTGCAGCTTCTTAGAATGTACCCCGGGAAGCTACCGGACGTAGATTTAATGTTTGAGTGTGGCGACAAACCGGTGATCAGAAAACGTGATTATGGACTATCAAAGGCTTCGAATCCACCCCCACCTATATTTCATTACAGTGGAGACGATTCAAGTTTTGATATTGTTTTTCCTGACTGGTCCTTTTGGGGTTGGTAAACATTCTCTCTTATAGTAATACTCTTGTTGAAGCACATCATCTGAAAATTTAATTTAATATGCCAAATGAATTTATTTATTTATATTTTTATGTTGAACTCGTCACGTAAATCAAATTCATTTTTCATCAAAGGAATGCTATGCGAATTTCCATGTGAAAAGACTTGAATGCAATACTTTCGTGTATTGGTGTTGAACAACCTCATCTAAAAATTTAAGCATATTTTATCTTCAAGATTTCATCCTAGAGATTAATTGTATAAGATTGTTCAATTGTGATGTATTTCGTCATGAGAAATTTATTGGTCAATATTGAAACAACTTCATCTAAAAGTTTTAAGCTCCAAATTCAACAAGCCCAATAATTCGGATTCCTCTTTTTCCCTCTTTCAGTGCATAATTTTCATAAATTATTGACTGTGAGACTCAATAGCCAATGTATGTTTTGTTGATTATGCAGGCCAGAGCTTAATATCATGCCATGGGAAATCTTGAAAGAGGATTTGGAAGAAGCCAACAGCAGAATCAAATGGAGTGACAGAGAACCTTATGCTTATTGGAAAGGTAACCCCAGGTTAGGACCTGCAAGACGTGACTTAGTAAAATGCAATTCCTCCGACTGGAATACTCGAATTGATAAAGTGGTAAGAAAGGATTCCCGTCCTTCACGAGCAGGATGTGTTTATTTTTACTTTGACCGCTACCTAGACACTTAGGATTTTCATCAGTTTGACTTGAATTTAGAATCTTTACCTATTCTAATACCATGTAGCAGTGATAATCTCCATAACTCAGAAATATAGGAAGAATTTCTTGTATCGGGAGAAAAAGTTACTCTCTAACCTTCTTGAAAATGTCTTCCACTTCATGGGTTTTAGTGATCCTTCTCTTCTGATAACGTTGAACCATATTCATTTCCCTTGAAGTAGTTTGTTGCAGACTCCAATATAGGTGTAAATCGAACCGTGGTGGGCAGGCACTAGCAGAATCTAGACAATTTGCATCCCTCGCCCTGTTTACAACCGCACTTACATATGCTGAAAATTTCATGTGCAGGAATGGGTACATGAGAGAAAACATGGATTCAAAACTGCAGATTTAGCAAGCCAATGCACTCACAGGTATGCATGAATTTCACATAACTCTCTTACTAGGTCTATTTTTTATTATTTTTTGCTGATTTAATATCTTCATATGACCATATGCAGATACAAAATCTACGTCGAAGGAGTTTCATGGTCTGTCAGTGAAAAATATATTTTAGCCTGTGATTCCATGAGTTTGATCATAAACCCTCGTTACTATGATTTTTTCACAAGAAGTTTGCTACCCACAATCCATTACTGGCCAATAAATGAGCAAACGAAGTGTGAATCGATCAAATTCGCAGTCGAATGGGGCAATAAACATATGAATAAGGTGACTTTCTTGTCTATATATACTAATATCCTACCATATTTTGCTAATTTATTGTTGATCAGACGTTGTTGCTACAGCAAAAAGTGATATTTTGACTGTCAATTGATGTCGAATGGGAAAGTGATAGTAAGATACAGAAAACACAACCAGAAGTAACTTTTTTTACTTATAAAGTTAAGTAAGAAAACTAGTACTTATTCAAACATGTTCGACATCTCTTACTTTTTACTTAAACATGCTTTATCTCCCAAATTATTCTCATCTCTTGTTAATTTTTCGACTGCTGGCTTGTCTGCAGGCACAAGAAATTGGAAAGGCAGGGAGCAAATATGTTCAAGAACAACTGATAATGAAGCATGTTTATGATTACATGTTCCATCTGCTAAATGAATATTCTAAACTCTTGAAATATAAACCAAGAGTGCCATTGGGGGCCATTGAAGTTTGTTCAGAGACAATGGTTTGTTCTGTCAAAGGTTCAAGGAAGAAATTTAGGATACACTCAATGGTGAAAGATCCTGTAAATTCATCTCCATGCACCATGCCTTCTCCATATTATCCTGCAGAACTAGAAGATTTTCTTCGTAGGAAACGGAATCTAACTAAGCAAGTTAGAATGTTGGAACAAAGTGGAAGTTAGGAACTGCAATCTTGACAATATGAGGACTAGTTTGGTGCACAATACTGCATTGGATTGGACATTAAAGTAGGCACCATTTGATTTTTATTTTTTTTTCATTCCTTTAAATATTTTTTGATGGTGTTCGATACTACATACAAAACATACTTTAATTGTTCTAAATTACTCTTTCTACTTTTATGTGTGCATGTGTGTGTGTGTGGGTGGGTGGGTCATGGAGAGTGGGTTTATATTGTAGAGTTTGGAACTAATGGTACTTTGAAAGGAGAGTAATGAAAATGTCTACTAATCAAGTATTTTTTGATATGTCGAGACCATATTCTTGCTTTGAATAGGAATAGTAAGTAACTTGAAATTGGATTTTTTTGCTTTTAGGAATGTTTAATACATACTTTGATATATGTATTTTGAAATAAATTATCTTTTATTGATTGTTTAACTATGATTATAAATTCAATCAAAATCAAACGTTAAGCTCAAGTAGAGGTGGCAATCGAGCCGAGCGGCTCGTCGGCTCGGCCGCTCGGCTCTCCAAAAACGAGCCCAAGCACGAGTCGAGTCTGCTCGGCTCGTTTCGACGAGCTCGTGGGCTCGTCGTTATTACGAGCCACGAGCCGCTGAAAAATTAAAAAGTCTATTGTGACCGGAACGGTCACTGAAAAATTTCAGTGGCCGATTGGTCACTTATAATTTTTTTTTTATTTGTTTTATTCTTTTCTTCATTTCTCTAATTTTTTTCCCCTATAAATACCCATCCATTACAACATTTTTTTCCCACCAAAACTTACTATCAATACCAATCTCTCATTTTCCAGTCTTCTCTCTACAATTTACAAATCAATATCATTCATTCATTCTATAATTCTCGTTACATTTTTTTTACATTATTATCTTGATTTTACAATTCATTTATACACTACTACATAATTTTCATTCACTTCTCAATTTTACATTTCAACATTCAATTTCTGTTATTCACAAATGGATCCACGATCATTTGTTGAAAATTTGTTCAATATGGAAGGCGAAATACATGTCCAAACTCAATTTGGGAATGAATTCGCCAGTCTCAATGAATTACCACCAGAAAACATTCAAGATTTCGACGTTATAATGGACCCCCGATATAATTTATCGGGTACAAAATTTGTAATTGATCAAATTTCAATTACTTTAAATTTTTATATGCCTATTACTTATAAGAATTTAGAACAAACGTTAACTGAAATGTATGAANTTAACTTGTAATGTACCTATTACTTATAGGAATTTGGAACAAACTTTACGTGAAATGTATGAATTATATGCTTTACGAATGGGTACACATATTACTCGTGTACCTACAATTACTTCTCACACTAATATAACAGATGACGACACTGAAATTTTAAATTTATTCGAAAGCATGAACTCCTATAGATATGATTCCACTGTATATGCATATGGTTCCTCTAGTAGTAGTAGTAGTTTGTCTTCCACTATATGTACTCAAACTTCGAGTAATAGTACAAATGCGTTGCCATCTGAATTAATTAATTACTTTAGTTATACTTTGCCTAGTAACAAAGTAGTTATGGAAAATTCAAAAGAGGTAATTGAATTCTGACGAAATTATGAACGTCGATGGCCAGTAGTTTTGGCAATGGCAGAAGATCTACTAACACTTCCAGTTAGCACTATAGTTTCGGAGTCTGTTTTTAATGCAGGGAAGAGGGTTCTCTATGAGGTCAGGAGTCGACTAAAAGAAGATATTTTGAAAGTGTTAATGTACGTGAAGGACTGAGAAAACGTTAATTATCGAATTCAAGATAAATATGCCGAAATTGCATGTAACCAAGTAAGTGATATTTACTTTTATTGTATTCATTACAAAATTTCATTTTCATACCTTTATAATTTTTTGAAGAAAATTGTACACGTAACAAGTTGTTCGTGTACAATTTTTAACTCCACCTACTCGAAATTGAAGTAGTCAGTCCCAAGTCCAAATAAAGGGGGAGAGTTTATCTTTTTTAAAAAAAATAAAAAAGTTTTGAAAAATGTATATTTAAAAAATTCTTTACAAAATGTGTGTGTGTGTGTGTATTTAGGTTTAGACTTAATAGGAAAAAAATAGCGAGCCTGCGAGTTGAGCGGCTTGCGAGGGGCGAGCTCGGGCACAAGTCGAGCTCGCCAAAAAACCAACGAGCCGAGCTCGTGCAAGTAAAGGTCGAGTCGAGCCCACCATTAAGCTCAAGCATACATTCATAAATAATATTCGTTATTATTCACACATTTCGTGAGACATGCATCTTAAAACTTGTGGTTTCATCTTAAAACGGCAATCTTGTTAAATGAATAGATGTTGGTTATTTATTTTATATTTATTCAATGCATGATTTATCATTTTAAACATGTCTTACATGATGGTAGCTCGTTTGATCAAATTAATTTTAAAATCAATGCAATCATTTGAGTGTTAACTTGTTCAATTTGCTCATTTTATTTTAATGGATTCTGATATCATATTAAGATTCAAGGTTCCATCTTAAATATCATATTTATTAAGAGTAGTCACAAAAATACATTAGTTTTTTTTATTCGATATAGAATTTATCCTTCAATATTAATTAATGATGTTGGCAAAAACCCGAAAACAAACACACCATTAATTCCAAATAAATGTTGCAACATAATCGACTTTCTAGTTTTTGTTGATGGCATCAAAGATTCATAGATTAGCATGTATTGAAAAAACACAATGACTTTAAATATCAAATACGAAGAATTTTAAGAAACTGAGAATAATCCACTATTCTATATTGAGTAGTGCTATTGGTACATAGTACTACACATAATGGTTCACATAGGGGGCAAGTGGCGCCTCCCCATTGGAGGGGCGCCTCGGCCCACAGGTGGGGCCAAGGAGCCCTTCCAATGAGGAGGCGCCACTTGGCCCTTATGTGAAGCATTATGGGAAATGCTATGTATCCCTTCTATATTTAGTTCATGAACAACCAAATGAAACCACTATGCCCCGATATACATATTACAACTTATAGATTTGTTTTCCAATAGATGACGTAGCGAGATTTGACTTAATCAAAATCACAACAACCAAATTATAAATAAAATAAAAAATTCTCCTATTTTTTTTTGCCGTTAACCCACATTATGATGAAGAGATTTTGACCATTTTAATTTAATTTATCTTCGTCTCATCAATCTTTAAAAGAATCCGTAAATGGTGATGTACAACAACTATTTTCCAGTATTATTAGGCTAGATGCTAAACGTAATGAAAATTGCATGTTGAGCCCCTTATTTCTGAACAAGTTAAATATAATCCCCCTCAACAAAATATCATAACTAAATTACAAAAATACTAAAGCCTTGTTTGACAATCATTACGCTCATTTTTAACTACACATTATTTTGCACGTAAACCTAAAATTTTTCTCTACTTATTAGTCACATATTCTTATAAAAATCAATATTCAAAACATAGTTAAGTAAACCGGACCCTTCTCAACAGTGTAAGATTATTATGTATCATTATTTTTATCATTTTTCTGTAACAAAACCACTTATAAGAACCCTTTCTCAATCCCTATTTCACCTTTCAGCACGACATAATTTCAAGAGTAAACACGCACATACATACACAGAGAGAGATTACTTAGAAAAATCTGTTGTACTATTAATTCTGCTTCTCATAACATGTTCCCTGTTTGTAGGCCAAGTGGAAAGACAAGGGACATGAAACCTCCTGGAAAATGCAACAGCGAGAACGACTCCGATTGTTGCGTCGAAGGCAAGCTTTACACCACCTACGAATGCTCACCAGCAGTCTCCGGCTGTACCGAAGATCTAACCATAAACAGCTTCGAGAAGGGCGGAGACGCGGCGGCAAGTCAGAATGCGAAAACCAGTACCACTAACAACATACCAGTAATAGCATTATCAAATGGTTGGTTCACAGGAGTGCAAAAGATGCTTTCATAATATTACTACAAGTGCAAATGGGAAGAGTGTGGTGGCTATGGTGGTTGATGAATGTGATTCTACCGTGGGATCATTGGGATGAGGTGATGATCACGATTATCAGCCTCCATGTAATAACAACATAGTTGATGCATCAAAAGCAGTATGGGAAGCTTTGGGAATTCCTGAGAAAGACAAGGGTTGGAAGAATATCACTTGGTCTGAACTAGGGTGCACCACATTTGGCTAAGTAAATAAATTCTAAAATATTTAACTGTTATTGTTGGTCAAGGTTGAAAATTACTTAATTTGAAAGTTAATAGTTACTTTCAACGTAAGTAACTTTTTCCACTTAGAAGAATGAAAAAAACAACGGATTCAAACATGTTTGAAAATAAAATGTTACTTAGGCTCTGTTTGGTCCACATTATTTTTTTCAATCTCATTCTTCTACTCATTTTCAACCACACATTTTTGAATAAAATAATATTTTCATCACATCGATAATTTTCCCTTCTTTTTCAACCGCATATTCTCCATCACATCAACAGTAAAAATGTAGTATTACCTTCCAAAATGTGCACCAAACGGGGGCTTTAACATAACTTGAAGTCTTTTTAAGCTTAGCCAAACATGAACATGACCTTGTTACTAGTAATATGTACTATAACTCTATAATTAAGGTTTTCTTTAAAATTATGTTCCAATCTCTATCAATGGTGAAAAAGTGCAAGAGACTTCAAATCAGGAACGCAGAACTGAATAAACAATAGTGCACTACTACAATATTGAAACAAGGCATCCATATTGAAGTTACGAATTTATTTATACAAGCAAGCAAATAAATCATTTTAACAGCAGAACCATGTTAGATTTGCTAAGGAGAGCCCAAAAATGGTAAGGGATATATAGGAAAAGTGTACTATCAACAATTTTTCGATATTGGGAAATTTGTGTTAGTAGTTCTAGTTCATAGCAAGATGAATGAACCATTTGGTGCATGATACACATTGGTGGGATTTTGGTAGAGAGCATTC